TTTTGGACTTTTAATCACACAAGGAAACCTAAAATCATCTACCAAGTTGGGACATCTATATAAGGGCAAACCAAGCACGAATTAGAGGACTTTGGACACAACCTTGGAGCAAGAGGAGCGAGAGAACGAAGAATTGAAGACGGAGAATTGACAACTCTTCATCACAATTCTTCTTTTATCTATCTTTTCTTAATCTTTTCTTTTTATGTTTTTATTTTGTTTATCATAAGAATTACGCGTAGCTAAGTTTTTAATCTAGGATTTTGTCGGAACCCTATGTGGGGATGGTGAACCCGTTTTCTTGAGATTATGCAATTATGATTTTATGATTATTTCTTCTACTTGATATGATTGTTAGTGCATGAACTTGATCAATTTATGTGCTTTATCTGTGATTATTGGGATTGACTCGACAGAGCTATTTTGATAATTAGACGGTAAGTATAAGAACCTTCGAGTAGTTTTCACCGGATGAGTGTGTCAATTGCATGTGGTGTCGTAGACATACAGATATCACATTAGGTAGCCAATTACGAGACTTGTTAGTTAATGCTTTATTCATAATTTGTTTGCATAGACATATAGTGAACCGTTTATGAATAATAGACTCATAATACACGCGACAGCGGGTTATGAGTAAATTAGTGTCTCGGGTTAATAATCATGAATCATATATTTCATAATTGAGGGGTTTTGGGTGAGCAATTCTTGCATAGGGGGAAGATAAAATCCTAGGTCCGTTTTTATATTGATATTCTCTCTTCTTTATTTGCTTTCCTAATTAGTTTAATTTATTTAGTTGATTAAATTTGACAACCTTGCGTAGGCTGGATAAAAATCATAATTGTTAGAATTTGGTACTTAGGATTAGATAATTTGAGTATTCCCTGTGGGATCGACATCCGACTCTCACGAGTCCACTTTTACTACTTGTTTGCGATACGTGCACTTGCGTGTTAGGTATTTAGCACCCAACAAGTTTTTGGCGCCGTTGCCGGGGAATACAGCTAAATTATCTATTTATTCTGATATCAAATTTGAGCAATTTTTCTTACTTCAGCCATTTAATTTTTTTTATTTTATTATTTTTTTTTATTTTTTTTTTTGTTGTTTTTGTTTCATGTCTGGTTATAATGTTAGGGAACCTCAAACGGGATATGAATGGCTTCCATCTGACGAATACCTCCAAAACACCTATGATATGCCTCCGTTTTGTTCAGCATGTGGTGGAAATCATTATTCCGATGAATGTTGGGGATCACCAAAAGCGACAAATTTCGTCGAAATTACCAACGGAAGTTATTGGAACACTTACACCAACACATACGAGCAAAGTTTTCAGGACCAAGATTTGAACGAGTTTCAACATAGAGAGCCACAATTCGATGATCTTCAAAATTATTATCCATTGCAGCAACAAACCACTAATGACCAACCTGATTTGGTATCCATCATTGGCGAATTCATGAAGTCCACTCAAGCATCATTTCGAAACATGGAGATACAACTGGAAGAGATGACGCTCAAATTAAAATCTGAGTCTCTTGAAAATATTCCAGACGAAATCGGCAATGATTACATCAAAGAAAATTCGGGTGAAGCCTGCGGTGAGAAAAATCTTCCATGTCCAGAAAATAGTGTCGATATGAGAGAAATTGAAATTACGAAGACACTTGAGCATGATGAATCTGAGAAGGCAATCGAGCTAAACCACGAAGATACCTCAGAACAAGAGAAGAAGGAGATGGATGTAATGATTGAAGATATTCTAGTTGTGGACCATGTCGTTGATCTAAATGTGGATTTGAAGACATCAATAGTGGTCGATGAGAAAGCTAATGTGTTTGAGGTGGAGGTTATACGTAGACTGGAGATTTTTGTATACCGATTTGAGGGAGCGGTCGATGAACATCCTATCTTGGCTTCGTACCGATTGATTACCACAAAAAAAGACTACAAGCTAAGGTGTATCGTAACATATTGCAATGCTATCCATGCCTTGGTGGAAATTGAAGTGATAAAGCTCATGGGTGGATGCGCAATCTACAAGGCTTTGGATTGGACATAACAATTTCAAGAAGAAAAGTCTGGCTGAAGACTTAAAACTTAGCGCTTCTCGGGAGGCAACCCGAGCATTTATCGATTTTCGTATTTTTCTTTGTTTTTATTTTTCTTAGTATTTGTGCATGCGCAAACCAATAATTTAATCTTGTTTTAATTTTGAGGTCGAAAATCAAACACTAAGGGATCGGACGATAAAGGTCGAGCAAACGAACATCAAAGAGCGCATCCCTTGGAAGGACCTTCGACTAATCAGGTGTATTCTATCCTTGAACTTCGTGTTAATTACATTGAGGGCAATGTAAATTTTAAGTTTGGGGGTGGTAAATTACTTGTTTTTATGTGCTTTAATTTTTTAGTTTGCACGCCTTAGGATTTTTCATTTTATTTTAGTTGTTTTAGTTTATTTATTGCTTTCGAAAAAAAAAAAATTAAAAAAAAAAAATTGCTTGAGATAAATGCTTTGATGAATCATGATGACGAAAGATGGTCGATGTTTAATGATGGAATTGCTTGCTTTATCTTGATTTTGATCGAATTTTGGTGAGCTTTTGATTCAAAGTGTCGTAAGAAGGAGTCATTGTTAGGAATCTCGAATTATGTCTTGCTTTGGTTGAAAGTTTTGTGTTTTAAAACATGGAATTAATTTATGCTATATCATATGCTATTCAGTTTTAGAACTTGCCTTAGGAATTTACAAAGTGAAATATTAAATTGTTGAGCAATTTGGGAAGTGATTTGGGCCATCTTTGAACCGTTTGAGCCTTTCAAGCCTACCTTTAAATTTTTATCATTCGAACCTTGATTGAGCCTTGGAGAAACGGTGTTCTTTCTTTTAGCGAATGTGTATAAGGTAGAATAAGTGGAGATTTTTGAAAAATTAACCCTTGGAGTTCGGTCGAATTTTTTTTTATAAGGTCCTTCTTCTTCTAAAAAAAAAAAAAAAAAGAAAAGAAAAGAAAAAAAAAGAGATATATATATATAAAAAAAAAAAAAAAAAAAAAAAAGAGAAAGAAGAAGAAGAGACTAGAAGGGGAAGTAAGGACTAGTTGTTGAATTGTTTTGAAAGCTCGATCCATTGTTTTAAGAGCAAAAGTGGAGACTTTTGAACTCTTAAGAATCGAGTTTATTAAAGTCCTTAGAGGTGAATTCATTGTTTCAAACGCCTATCTTTCAAAATTTGGCGTAATCACCTCAATTCAAGAAGCATAGCCACATATACCCATATTTCCTACCTCGAACAAAAAAGCCCAACATTTGAAAGCCAAAAAGTCCCAATGATCCCAATAGCTCAATTATTTGATACTAGCCGAGTAGAGAAATTTGGGGAGTCTTTGGAGTTGAATATTATTATGTAAGTATAAATTTTCTCCATTTTTAATTTGCAAATATGGGATACTTTAAGCGATAGCATGGTTTGTGGGTTTTAGCAATGGTGAGTGAATACGTATCTTTGAATTACGAGCTTGTAAATATTTGAGAATTGTCATGATAATTGCAAGTTCTGAAAAAATGAAAATTGACCATTAATCTATGTGATGAGAGGCATTTGTTGAGAGTGTTGCTGTGAAAGTTGCTAGTTTTTGCTTGAGGACAAACAAAAGATCAAGTTTGGGGGTGTGTTAAGTATATATTTTTATACTTTATCGTACCTTTTTATTTGAGCTTTTGGTGTGATTTAACGATAATTGGTGCTTAAAAAGTTGATTTATTGTATTTTAGGTATAAATTGAAGAATTGGAAAAGTTTGGGGTCAAAACTGCAAATTTGGAGAAAATATGGGCCAAAAGTGAAATAATCAAAAATATGCTGAAATTGGCTGAAAATAGGCCCGCACGGCCGTGCCAAAATTAGCCTATTTTTGGCACGGCCGTGCCAAATGCTGAAATTGGGCAGAAGGTTCGGCGATTCTCGCGCGGCCGTGTGAGAATTGCACTGATTTTCGCGCGGCCGTGCCAACACACGCTGGACACAATTTTGGACTTTTAATCACACAAGGAAACCTAAAATCATCTACCAAGTTGGGACATCTATATAAGGGCAAACCAAGCACGAATTAGAGGACTTTGGACACAACCTTGGAGCAAGAGGAGCGAGAGAACGAAGAATTGAAGACGGAGAATTGACAACTCTTCATCACAATTCTTCTTTTATCTATCTTTTCTTAATCTTTTCTTTTTATGTTTTTATTTTGTTTATCATAAGAATTACGCGTAGCTAAGTTTTTAATCTAGGATTTTGTCGGAACCCTATGTGGGGATGGTGAACCCGTTTTCTTGAGATTATGCAATTATGATTTTATGATTATTTCTTCTACTTGATATGATTGTTAGTGCATGAACTTGATCAATTTATGTGCTTTATCTGTGATTATTGGGATTGACTCGACAGAGCTATTTTGATAATTAGACGGTAAGTATAAGAACCTTCGAGTAGTTTTCACCGGATGAGTGTGTCAATTGCATGTGGTGTCGTAGACATACAGATATCACCTTAGGTAGCCAATTACGAGACTTGTTAGTTAATGCTTTATTCATAATTTGTTTGCATAGACATATAGTGAACCGTTTATGAATAATAGACTCATAATACACGCGACAGCGGGTTATGAGTAAATTAGTGTCTCGGGTTAATAATCATGAATCATATATTTCATAATTGAGGGGTTTTGGGTGAGCAATTCTTGCATAGGGGGAAGATAAAATCCTAGGTCCGTTTTTATATTGATATTCTCTCTTGTTTATTTGCTTTCCTAATTAGTTTAATTTATTTAGTTGATTAAATTTGACAACCTTGCGTAGGCTGGATAAAAATCATAATTGTTAGAATTTGGTACTTAGGATTAGATAATTTGAGTATTCCGTGTGGGATCGACATCCGACTCTCACGAGTCCACTTTTACTACTTGTTTGCGATACGTGCACTTGCGTGTTAGGTATTTAGCACTCCAATAGATGGTATCCTCTTCTTTTTTGGTCTTCCACGTCGAGATTTAAATTCAGGTGGGCCAACACAAATTTCCTCTTCGTTTGTAGTGTATCTAACATACGGTAAATAGGGATCATATAGTCATATGGTTCTGTCCTCTCGTTCCCTAATACACACACCGCATGAACACAAGAAAATCCAAGAATCTGCCATTCTCGACATGTGCAAGATTTTTGCGCCAAGTCAACAACAATAGACGGATTACTGGGAACTTCAAAAATATTGTCAGCGGCCTTCTCAGGCTTCCACGACCTGCCTTCAACTTCAATATCTTGCGAAATTTTCTCCTTCTTAGGGTAGCACATAGATGACCAATTAGCTGCTTTATCTCTTCTCTTAGTCATCTGCTTCATTAATTTGCTTCTAATTGCGTCTATCATAGTCATAACTGGTAGGTCGCGCAACAGAAGAATTTGCGAATTCCAAGATTCCACGCCGTTCGAATACATGATTTCACCGTATCTATGCCCATCAAAATACGCATTCGCCCATTTATTATAAGGCAAGTCATTCAAGAATTTCACAACTTTGCTAGAACCAGTGACCTTGAGCTTCTCGATCTTCTTATCAAAAGACGTCTTTGAGAATTCAAATACGCATGATACAAATTGGCCAACAATTGCCTCCCTATAACTTGTTGGAACCCCTTTAAATTTGTTGTTCAAATTACCTATCAAATGTCTGAGGCAAAATGAGTGAAAACAATATGGAAACATGTTCTTAACCCCTTCTAGAATGTCATGTTGCCAATCAGAAATAAACGTAAAGATACGATCCTGGTTAATTGGCTCCTTTAGCAATGTTAAGAACCAAAACCAGTTATCGTCATTCTCCTCATGAACAATAGCAAATGCGATAGGGAAAAGTCCTGCAAAAAAACTTATCCAAAAAAAATGCAAAAATTTTAAGAACTAATCATAATTTTGCTATTATAATTTGCATTTTGCTCTCAACAAAATTAATGGTTTGCATTTTTCATTTTTTCGTTTCATGTTCTGCATACTAACCATTAGCAAACGACAACATCATTAACAGCCATAAAAAATACTAGATTATGATAAATTAAAATATTGCTATTGTAATTTGGATTTTGGTGCCGCCAAAATTATTGATTTGCATTTTGCATTATACATGTTTTCAATTTTTCCTTTCGTCTTCTGCATCCTAAAAACTTAAATAAACATTGACATCTAAAAAAATTTAAATTATTTTTTGTAAGTAACATCGATCCGAACTTGTCTTTCACTTGGTTTACAACATCTGTAGGTGTCATTTGTGGCATGATTCGTAAATCACCAACCGTCAATTCACCAACAATTTGTGTACTCATCCTAATTTTTTTCGACCGACGAAGTGCAACACCACAAGTATGCAATTGATTAAATGTCCTTACGTAGAAAAAACCATTAATTTTGTTGGCAGATGCATGGGTTCTATAGGGAAGTTCTTAGATTCTTTGAGTTTGCAAACAACAGTCACCCTATTACTTTCGTTCTTCACATAATCAAATTGAAATCCATTGTGATAAGCAAATTTGACTAAACATTTCCTAAAATTCTCTACCCCCTCTTTAAATATTTGCCCCACATCTGTAATTAAGTTACTCCAATTTGAACTCAACATCACCATTGGATTACGTGATCCTTCTGATGCAAGACTACCCATCTTTGGATTTGCATCAAGCATCGACATTTGGGTTCCAGTTGGATATTCAAGGAAATCTGTTGTTTTAATTTAACATTACACCATCTTTCAACTTCACATTAACACAAATTTCATCAATCAAAAATTTCTCAACATACTCCATCATCACGCCGGCCAACATCGTCGTCATCCGCCAACATACATTACCCGTGATTTAAAAAATTGTATGTTAATGTAAAATTACCAGGATATAAAGTACTCCACTTCAAGCAAACAAAATTTACTAAACACTTATATCTCGAAGCACCCGACACTTTTTTACTGCTACGAAACCATCGAACTTAAATACCAATTTAATTGAGCGGGGCAAACTGCATAACGAAATTAACAAATAAAAAACCTCAATTATGCTATGGATCGACCAACAAAGAAAAACGATAGTAACGAACAACAAAACAAACCTGTTGACGTAGCTCCTCTTCATGTTCATAGCAATACGAAAAACAAAAATATACCTAATTGCATTTGATTTCACAAAACTAAAGCCATACAATTCTAAGATCTTATAATGACGAATGAGTTCTTTAATTCTACCACGTTTGATAAACGCCCGATATTTTTTTCCATACCACGTCTCATAACTCCCTTCCAAATTGGGCCGGTCCGACCCGGTTCGATCTGGTCTGACCCGACCTGATTTTCTTTCTTTTAATTAATTTTTTTTACAGCGGTGGTCTGGCTCATTGGAGCTTCGGTTAGCTGACTCAACATTAGTAAACTTCAACATTAGTTGACTATTGACATTTTTTTTCGGCAGCGTGTCGTCGCATCTCTAGTTAATTAGCACACTCAACATTAGTTAACTTAAACATTCGTTGACATTCGTCGGAGCTACGATTAGCTGATTTCAACACTAAAACAATCGGGTGTCTGCTAATGCTTAGTCAGCTAATCAGAGCCCTAAGTACCCGCCGCCGACAAAAAGAGTTAAAATAAAAAATAAAAAATAAATGGTCGGATGTCAGCTAGTGCGAACTCACCTAATGCATAGTCAGCTAGTGTCAACTCAACTAATCAGAGTTACGACGTCCCGTTGCCGGAAAAAAAATAATAAAAAAAAAAGAGTTGGACGTCAGCTAATGTTGAAGTCAGCTAATGCAAGTAAACTAATCCGAGTTCTGACGATCCGCCGCTCGGAAAAAAAAATTAAATAAAAAATAGTATGTTAACTAATGTTGAAGTTAACTAATGATGAGTCAAATAATCGGAGCTTCCAAGACAAGCCGCCGGAAAAAAAAAACGATGTCAACTAATGTAGAGTCAGCTAAATCGAAGCTCAGACGACCCACCACCAAAAAAAAGAATTAAAAGAAAAAAAAATGTGATATCAAATGTTAACTAATGTTGAAGTTAACTACTATTAAGTCAGCTAACCGGAGGTCCGACGACCCGCCGCCGAAAAAAAAAAAAAAAAAAGGGATGTCATATGTTACTAATCTCGAGTCAGCTAAACGGAGCTACGACGACCCAGGCCACCACTGTAAAAAAAGAAATTTAATAAAATAAAAAACTTAAATTATTTGTTTAATAAAATGAATAGATAAAAATAATAACAAACCTTAATTACGGTTTGAATGGGTAAAAAACTCGAAAATGGTATAAACTAATTATTTGAGTTTATATCAAATGAAACTTACAAGAAATGAATTTTCTATACTATATTATCTATAAAAGGATGAATATGCTTGGAGTTTCTTCCATTTTTTGAATGTCCAAAAATGCCCCTAGGTAATTAAGTTAGTAAATTTATTTAGTAACATAAAATTAATAAATTGATACATCTACACGTAGTGCATCCACAATGAATGGGTACATGATGAATGTAGTGAGTAACCGATTCTACTTATACTTGGGAATGAGCAAAAGAATTTGAAGAGTTGGGAGAATGAATGGTAAAATATACTCTTTAAATACTGGTGTGCTACTATAAAACATATCATATGTGGAGTGGAAAGAAGTGAAATTCCCCACTTTCACATTTCGGTGAACTAATATTCATATTTTATTTCTATAAGTACCTTTTTCAACAGTTAGTAATTAAATTTGCAATTCATTTGTTGTTCAATTTTTTGTTGCATATTAAAATAAAATGGCGTCCATCACAAAGAAAAGTTTAGCATTGAAATAAACAGGCAACTTCTCCTAAGAGACAGCTTATTTACTTGACGTGCATCGAGAGTGGCATGTCGGAATTTTCAGGTTTAAGAAATATTTTATTCATATTTTACGGTGTTTCATAATATCGAATTTCCTAGAAATTTAGATTCTACTACAAATATTTCTTATTTTCTACTACAAATATTTTATTATTTTAATAATATTTTAATTTTAAACAAACCAGTGAAGGAGAACTTGTACAAGCATCTCGAATAATTCTCCAGTTTTGAAAATTGTCATTCTCAAAGGTTGGCGGCGCTATTCGCCAAAGGAGATGTAAGGCTTGTGCGCGATGGACTCTACCTGCGAGGGGAGTGTGTCGGTCGCATTCTTTGATGATGGTTCTGTGTATGGATAGTTTGGTGGCTAAAGAGCAAAATATGGAAAAGTGGTGGTGACGGCGGTTTTAAAGCTTAAATAAAGAAATAGAATTAAGCCTCTTTCTTTGGGTGAATTGCATTTTGCACCCCAAAAATGGTAAGAATTGGCGTTTTGCACCCTTCGATTTTGGAATTGGCAAAATACACCCTCAAATTAAATATCTAATGACAAAATGCATCCTACAACTGTTTCGTATGAGATTTTAACCAAAATTTGAATATATCATGATATTTAATATTTAGGAGTTTCAGTATTTTTAACAAAAATGATGAGAATTCAATTTAGGACAAACATAAGCTTATTTCATACAAACAATTTTAAAACAACATAAAATGTGAGGTTAGAATATAACTAGAAAAATAATCGATCATTGAGATTTAAAAAGACAGAATAAATCTCATAAAATATGTAATGAAAATTGTTAATAATGTAGATGTTTTTTGAGCATAAATTATAACCTTTTAAATTACATTAAAAAAATATCATTGTATAAACAAAATTATTATTTTTTAGCTTATATATAATTTCAATTTTGATACGAAAAACTAACAAAAACAAATCATTATTTTTTCCTTTGTGATTCATTTATAATATAACGAAATAATAATTTAAAAATATAAAGTACAAAAAAAAAAAAAAAATCACCAAGCAAGAATATATTTGTATGGAGTTTGCAAACACCACAAACTTTAAGGAAAAAAAGTTAACTATATCACCAACTTCGAATTTTCCAGATGTTTCTGCAAACTACCTTGATATGAGAAAGTTTGCATTGTAAAATAGTTAGCTACAAAGACTACTATTACTACCCTGTGTATTTTTATTTGATTTTCAGTGTTGATGTTGGTGTTTTTATTTTATTTCAACTATTGATATTGTCACGACACGTGCAACGCACGTGCACATGCCTAGTACTCAAAAACATAAAAATGCTTGGGCTTATCTACATTATGTAAGTTAGTGAGGCTATCTCAATTAAACTCAATTTGATTTTGTATTCACAAGAAATTCAACAAGTGAAGGCCGCGGCCCCGCATATCTTGTGAAGATTTTGGAGACAAAATCATGTGATTGTTCATGTGCTTTTGTTTCTCCGAGTTTGTCATAAACCACATACCATTTGGCTTCTTCGCAAGGACTATGGTATTTACATGTTCATCTATATATACACATTCACACGACACATTTCTATAGTTACAACCCAACTTTCAATTCACAACTTCAGAGCTTAAACCGAACGGTGTTAAGGTCAAATGTCTGACAACTAACATCGAGGGCCACATTAAAACAAGTTTTCAAGTGCAGGGGTCAAATCGATACAATTGAGAGTAGAAAGGGGTAAAGTGATGCCAAGTCAAAGTACAAGAGGGAAAGTGGACATAAAATGCACATGTCAAAATGGCTCGGAGTAAACAAAAGATCATTCATAAGTAATACCGTTAATCTATCTGTCCATGAGTACATCTTCTACCTGCTGACAAAGTATCTTCTTTTTGTACAAAAACAAAAAAATGAACAAAATCATCCACGAACTAGCTAACAAACATTCTATTGCCCTAAGACCTAGCTTATGTATAACTGTATATATATCATTTTCTGCTCAAGCGAGATGTAAGATCAAGGAATAAATCCTCACTGCAAGGAATAGTGAGGCCGCCCATTGGATGATGGTATCGAAATTCTTCTTCGGCTTGGCATAGCAAATCTTGAAACGAAGGATGGTTTAAATATGACAATGGAATAACAAATCTCTTCTTTTCATTTTCTCCGACGTAAACAGCTAAATGCCCTTTTGGAACTTCATTTGATCTTCTTTCGTTGGATAAAGATCGTTTCAGTATTTGGCGGATGGCCATTTTTGTATGAAGTGTGAATCTTGGGGAAGTATTTGAAATAAGTGAGAGCTGAGTAAGGAGGAGTTGTTGATGATGGTTGTAATCAAGAAATGGTGTTTGTATATAGAGTAAAAAGCAGTTTGCCCCCTAAACTAATGTCCGTTTTGCACTTTGCCCCCCAAACAAAAAAAATTTGCACGTTCTTACCTGAACTCCGTTTTTTGTTGCACGGTGCCTCAAAATTGGAATTTTCAGGTCATTTTGATCGGAATCTTGCACATGTGCTTTTCACGTGAGTTTTAAGGGGGCAAAAGAGTCTATTCCTTACATTCTTCATAGTAAATAAAAAAAAACCAAAAAAAAAAAAAAAAAAAAAGAATGAAAGAAAATAAGGGGCTGCTGATCTGCCATTTCGGAACCAGCTTCGTCTTCATCTGTATCAACCACGGCGGCGCCAACGAGACCCCCTCTCCCCTCGTAATCGATTCCGTCTCCCGTTCGCCGATTCTCTCTCTTCAGGACACCGTCGGAGTTGGGTGGCGTCGCATCGATGCTTCCGCTGTACTTCTCCAGATCTCTAAGTTGGGTCTCTGTTCCGAGGTAACATTCTTAGCAAATTTGCAGAGTTATATCTCTCTTCATGTGAGTGGGAAAATTGGCAGCGTTTCTGGTGGAGGATGAAGTTGAGGGTTTCCACATATAGATGGAAAAGCCGCCGGATGTAGCGTCGAATTTGCAGGCAGAGCAGTGTGAGTTTCCATCGTTGGGTCTGCAGAGGAGCAGTGTAGATGGTCAAAAGAATCCAAAATTTTCATTCCAAAAAAATCCCAAATTCAATTCAATCAAAATGTATTAGATGATTCTATCTTGGCTTCGGATCTTGGATTTGTTGGAAGAGGAAATAATGATATCTCCCCCACAAGCTGAAACCTACACTCAAATCCCCCACACACATTTTCTTCTTCTCTAATTCTTCTTTGCACAAAATTTGCCACCCATCAATTTCTTTTTGCTTTCACACATTTTATAGTTTACAGTTTGAAAATTTTTCTGAGGAGCAGGTTCTCTCCAGTGGCAGATTTCCCCACCTTGTTTTTCACTTTTTTTTTTTTTTTTTAATTTACTATGAAGAATGTAAGGAATAGACTCTTTTGCCCCCTTAAAACTCACGTGAAAAGCACATGTGCAAGATTCCGATCAAAATGACCTGAAAATTCCAATTTTGAGGCACCGTGCAACAAAAAACGGAGTTCAGGTAAGAACGTGCAAATTTTTTTTGTTTGGGGGGCAAAGTGCAAAACGGACATTAGTTTAGGGGGCAAACTGCTTTTTACTCTTTGTATATATAGGCTATAAACAAATGATGTATCCTCTATGAAATTGAAAAAAACATAAGCATATGAAATCACATGGATTTGTCTTAAAAAAAACAAATTCATAATGAATTAATTAGGCCAATAACATGAACTTATGAGATCGAAAATATTGTATCCGACCAACTATGGCAACATGGCCCTAATTAAACCACCCTATAAGTTTTCTCTTGTAACTAATGCATGTAAGCCTTACAAATTACAGTCCCTACACATATATCACATCATCTAACTTATACTGCATTTAATTCGGTGGGTCTTATGAAATTTTCTTGCTGAAATGTTTTGAAGATTTTAGAGACAAAAGCATGTGATTCTTCATGTGATTTTGTTTGTCATAAATCATATACCATTTGTCCACTTCGTAACCACTCTATCCAGCTATGAGGAATATGGCATTTACATGTTCATGTATATATATGTTTACACGACACATTTCTAAACTCACAACCAGCTTTCAAAACTCGATTTTCAAGATTTTCAAGATTTTCATCTGCTTCACTAAACTCTCGTATATTTCTTTGCTTTCATCTTCAGCCTCACCAAGATTTTCATCACTTCCAACAAAAATCGATGGCTATTCACAAAATTCTTAGACGGTCTTTATCGGCTGAAAAGAGGACAATTGAAGTTCCAAAGGGGCATTTGGCTGTTTATGTCGGGGAGAGTGAAAAGAAGCGATTTGTTATACCATTAACGTATTTGAATGATCCTTTGTTTCAAGAATTGCTATGCCAAACTGAAGAAGAATTCGGATTTCATCATCCAATGGGCGGCCTCACTATTTCTTGTAGTGAGGACTTATTTATTGATCTCACCTCTCGCTTGAGCAGAGCTTGATATATAAGACTAGGTTCTAGAGCAATATAATTTTTGTTAGCTAGTTTCTTTACATATTTTCCTATTTGTATACACAAAAGATACTTTGTCGGATACAAAATGTATTCCCGGACAAATTGATAGTAATTACAACTTTTATCATAAGCTCGTTTTTGAATTTCTTTTTTCAAAAATTTTATACCCATAACTTTTTTGTTTGATGTTGGTCACACGCAGAAAAGTATGTTCAAAACGTAGATCATTTTGTACTTGTAAATAAGGCAACTCGATCATTGGAATTTCATGAACCCCAAAAAATGAATCGGCTGAAGAGTTTGTAACTAGTGCCTATGCTTGTAATTTTATCCAGGCAAATAATCTCAGATAATAATTTATAGCCAGAGATATATATACAAAGGCATAATTCCATAGCAAAATACGTACCGGTGAGCACATAGCAAACTATTCTTAAGGGTTTTTTTTTATTTATTTTTTATATTTTTTTATTTTTTTATTTACTTTTTTTTTTATATTTTTTTTATATATTTTTTTTATGCAAACATGGTGTGCTCGCTGCAATTTTTTTATTTTTTATTTTACTTTCTTTTTTATATTTTCTTTATATATATATATATTTTTTATGCAAACATGTGCTCGCTGCAATTCAAGTAGCATACGCCTTATTTTGGAGGTTAATTAATTTCCTTTTGATCAACTATCAAACTTAGCACTTACAGGCCCGCCGCTTGATCAATTATCAAACGTAACGCTCACCCTTATTAAATAATTTAAAGGGCAAATGGCAAAAAGGCCCATCACATGGGACTTAAATGCATTTTAGTCCATAAAAAAAACAGTCACTCAATTAAGCCCATCCCTATGCCTTTAGTCTAAAATACCCTCAATAATATAATTCTTAACAATTCCACCCATTATGCTCTAACTTCCTTAATATTACACATTGACCCCGAATTTAAACAAATATATCACATAAACCCCCAAAACTTTTTTTTTTCAGAAAATAATTTTTTTTCTGAAATATTATTTTTCCGGCCAGATTCCGGCGTTGACTGCCGGAGACCGCCGGTCTCCGACGTTGACTTTTTTTTTTTTTTTTTTTTTTTTGAAAATTTTTTTTCCTGAATTTTTTTCCGGCCGGTCAACCACCGTTGACCACCGGTCTCCGGCGTTGACTTTTTTTTTTTTTTTTTTTTTTGAATTGTTTTTTCTTAGAAAAAAAATATTTTAATTAATATTACTGTCTCCGGCAGCTATTTAACTGTCGGAGACAGTAATTTAACTGTTAATTGACTGTTTTTTTTTTTTTTTCTTCAAACGAACAGTAATATTATTAATATTATTTTCTAAATTACTGTCTCCAGCAGTTATTTAACTGTCGGAAACAGTAATTTAACTGTTAATTGACTTTTTTATTCTTAAAAAAATATTTTTAATTAATATTACTGTATTCGTTGCTAAATTACTGTCTCCAGCAGTTATTTAACTGTCGGAGACAGTAATTTAACTGTTAATTGACTTTTTTATTCTTAAAAAAAATATTTTTAATTAATATTACTGTATTCGTTGCTAAATTACTGTCTCCAGCAGTTATTTAACTGTCGGAGACAGTAACTTAACTGTTAATTGACTTTTTTTTTTTTTTTAAATTTTTTCCCTTAAAAAAAATTTATTTAAATTAATATCTTGGATGTTAAATTACTGTCTCCAACAGTAATTTAACTGTCTTAGACAATAATATTAATAATATTACTGTTCGGAAAAATAATATTCATAATATTACTGTCTCAAACAGTAATATTACTGTCTGAGACAGTAATTTAGTAGTCAATACAGTAATATTAATTAAAATATTTTTTTTCTAAGAAAAAACAATTGATCAAAAAAAAAAAAAAAAAAAAAAGTCAACGCCGGAGACCGGCGGTCAACGGTGGTTGACCGGCCGGAAAAAAAAAAGCAGGAAAAAAAAATTTCAAAAAAATAAAAAATAAAAAAAAGTCAACGCCGGAGACCGGCGGTCTCCGGCGGTCAACGCCGGAATCTGGCCGGAAAAAAAACAGTTCAGAAAAAAAATTATTTTCTGAAAAAAAAAAGTTTTGGGGGTTAATGTGATATATTTGTTTAAATCCGGGGTCAATGTGTAATATTAAGGAAGTTAGAGCATAATAGGTGGAATTGTTAAGAATTATATTATTGAGGGTATTTTAGACTAAAGACATGGGGATGGGCTTAATTGAGAGACTGTTTTTTTTGTGGACTAAAATGCATTTAAGTCCCATGTGATGGGCCTTTTTGCCATTTGCCCATATCTTTTTCATATATATCTTAAATAACAGTTTCTTAAATAATTCCACAATTCCCGCTTATTGATTGCAGAATTCTAATCATCATAATTTTAATATATCTCTCCCCCCTCTTTCTCTCGCAGGAATTAATCTGCAAATATAGGAATATTTTTTGGGTTTAAAAAACAGTGTGTGAATCTTTGTTTGATGATTGTGTTAAAAGAAGTGTATAAATAGTTGAATTAATCAATCTCTGCGAAATTATTATAATTATTAATTAATGACGAGTGATGAGATTAAGGTAGTTTAATATGGATCATAGTTATCTTAAACAATTAATTTATATTATTTGGTGGGTGAAAAGGTGTGTTCATATATATATGTAAACAAAGAGATGTTGTGTTCCTGGTGTGTAGTGTCGAGTGAAAAAGGAATTTTGTAGCAGTGTTGATTCCCTCTCTTTCTTTCTCTCTCTCTCACTTTATAGTGAGTGAAAAAGTGTGTGAGAGAAAGAGAGAGAGAGTGCGTGTGTTTTGAGTACATATGTTGATTGTAACCACTCTGTATTTGTCTCTCTCTCTCTATATACAAAATACAGAGTGGTTTTCACATAATGTCGGTTTTCATAATATAGAGTGGTTTTCACACAATGTCGGTTTTCAAAGTTACTTTTAAGTCATGGGTATAATTGTGCATTAACGTAACAAAATACAGTGGTTTCGAACAAAATACAGAGTGGTTTTCGTCTCAACAAAATATAGAGTCTAATTAAGCAGGAAGTTTGTCTCAATAAAATACAGAGTGGTTTTCGTACTTTTCCGCAAACTATGTAAGTGCTTAATAGTCATGGTTTTAGCACTGTTCGAAATAATGTTAATATGAATGCACATACTTTTTCTTCCCCATTGTTATGTGGTTTTAGCATATAGTCGATTGATCCTTTAAAATTACAAAGTGGTTTTGATATATTGCCGGATTTCAAAGTTACATGTCCGTTTTTATTATTATTATTATACATGTCAGATTTATATGTATTTTCTCAATCGTGGTAACAACTCTTTTTTTTCCCTTGTTAAATTAAAGACAACTTCTACCGTAATTTGGGGGAATTCTGAAAACAATGGAGAATGGGCTATGCCGGAGTGGTTTTTCTACAGTGATTTGGGGGAGAAATATTTGGGAGAATTATACGTAATATGATTTTTGGGAGGGATTTGGAATTGACTTACTGTATTTTCAATTTTAATAATTATACTAATTAGTGGGGGCATATATGGTTTTTCAGGCCCATTGAATTTATCTCAAATATCATTTATAAATAATGGATTTATTAAAAATTAAAATCCTAACGAAGGGTGTTTGGCATATAGCCCCAATAATAAAAAAAGGAATCAAGTAATGAGTATTAGATAGTGGAAATTGACTAGTGAAGAAGGACATATTTAGAATAAGGAAAATGCTAGACCTACTACTAATAGTGAAAATAAGGGTGAATCCACTCTTATTAAAAAAGGGGCTCTTTGAGGAAACCCCCTCATTACTTTTTTTAATGGAGAGAGGTCCAAAATATTTCAGTCCATTGGGAAAAGCCCACACCCATTTTGAGCCATTATGTTTTCCAGCTTTGCCCCCACCCGCCACATCATCACAGCTGGGTCACGCGCACAACGTTTTTTTTTTCCCGTTATTTCCCCTTCTTTTCTGTATCAGTTTCCTTAATCGACTATGAAGCATAGTCGATTAAGGAAATTTAATTTTTTTAATGTTTTTAATTTTTTTAATTTTCTTAAATTTTTTTATTTTTTTATATTTTCTAATTTTGTTTTTAAATTTTCTTTTTTTTGTTTTTTTTTAATTTTTTTTCTCTATCAGGTTTATTAATGCATAGTCGATTAAAAATTTAACTATTAAAAATAACAAATCACAATTACAAATAAAATGCAAAATCAACTATATTTAAATAAAATATATACAAACACTGTAATTGATTTATACATTGGAATCAATAAACAAAAAATCAAAAAAAAAAATTAACAACTGGAGTCGGTTAACCTTAATCGACTACTGAACATAGTCGATTAAGCCTTAATCGACTATTGAACATAGTCGATTAAACCACACGTAGTCGATTAAGGGCCCTGCTTGTGCGAATTTCTTTTTATGCGCCGTCTTCCGCCACAATCTACCAAAACTAGATCTGCTCTTCATCGTCACCACGTCGTCGCCACACCACACCATCACCACCCCACTTCCATATTCTAACGGTTTTTTATACAAACAATCAAAACAGAACCATGTACTACGGTCAAAATCACCAAAACAAAGCCACCTATATAAAAAAATATGCAGCAAAATTAGAATAAAAATCCATAACAAATAAGTAAAATGAAACAAAACTACATTGAGTGCGTGTTTTGCAGCCCCCGTACAACTCTGAGATTTCTATCTGCAATTAGATTCCCGATCTCCAATTTTCAAATCTCAAACCAGAAACAACAGAAACAAACATTACTCCAGAAAATCAAAACCATAAATAAAGAGTAAATCTTAGAAATAGACGAACGTACGCATCTCCTCCGGTGTGGAGACTCCCCTCGAAGCTCCAATCGCCAAACCTCCGCCAGCGCCGCCTCGGCGCCGCCTTCTACCATCGCCCCATAGTCGGACCGCCACCAAACACTCAGATCAGATCATGTAGAGAAGGAAAAAAAAGAGAGAAAGAGATGAGAGTGTGAAGAGATGAAAAGAGAAAAAGAAAGAAAAAAAAACGGCGTAAAACATAATTAGGGTTTTGAAAGAGTATATTGGACAATTAAGGGTATATTTGAAATTGTGAAATAATATGATGGAATATTAGGTAAGGGGGTTTTATCTAATTATTTTTTGGAGGAGGTATTTCCTTAACTCATTTTCCTAGATAGGGGTTCTTGTTAATATCCTATTAAAAAAAGCTAGAGGGCGGGGTTATCACTAATGGTCCAAATTACAAAATATAAATAATACTACAAATAAAATAGGGTTAATAGCATTTTGCCACCTGTACTTTGCCCATTTTTGCGCTTTGGCACCTTAACTAAAAAAAATTGCACGGGCACACCCAAACTCGTTTTTTTTACGCACACAACCACCTAGGGGGAATATTACGGCGAATCTTGAAAGATTCCGGCACACGTGCGATGCACATGACTAAATACATGGGTTTTGTCTTTAATCTGAAGATATCATGTGTGGTAAAACTGGAAGTTTTAAGGACTCAATTGAACTTAATTTGAAACTTTCCTAAATTCTAAATTAATTGAAATAGAGTTGTGGTTCTTCTTCTTCCATGGGAGTGGGTCTTCTTCTTCTATGGGAGTTTCTCCCCATTAATATTTTTCAAAGAAACCCTTTCCAATGCTTCAAATACTCCACTATGCAGGCAATTCTCTCTCTTTCTTTCTAATTCTCAGTATGTTTCTGTGGTTTACAGTAAATGTTAAAATTAATTACGCTTTAGATATGTGTATGTGTGAGAAAATTCAACTATGATAACAAATGTGAGATGCAATGCATATGAAGCAGTAGAAGAAGAGCAGCAACAGGTGGAGTCGCGTGGTGTGCAACCAGGTGGAATTTGTGAGGAAGATTTTTGCCCAATCATCCATGGCCAGAGATGCACGTACGCAAATTCGTCCAGACTTTTGAACATGCCTCGCTAATTCTCTAATCAAAATCACTTCCATCTCCCCCATGAACACAACCGTACCTCCAATCGTTCTCCAATCCAAGAACTAACGAACAAGACTAAGAGAAACGATTGGACTTAATATGTTAATGATGATGAGGAGGAACATCGAGGAAAAATCCAAGTTGAGGACCAAGATCGTCTCACAAGGTTTTTGATTAAATTGATGAGAGAAGATAACCCATTATTTTCTGTAAAGCTTGGATTTTTTTCAAAAGTTGTTGTTAGTTCAAAGAACAAATTAATGGGGGCGAAACTTCCATTGAAGAAGAAGAATGAGAGTTTTATATCTTTCAATTTCACCCCTTGGAATTTTCAATCTTTCAATTTCATCCTTTGGAACTTTCAATTTTAACCCACGTGATATCTTCAGATTAAAAGACCAAAAAATTCTCACATTAAGTATGTGCATCGCACGTGCGCCGGAAAAATGAGAAGATTCGCCAGAATATTCCCCTTAAGTGGTTATGTGCGTAAAAAAATGAGTTTGGGTGTGCCCGTGCAACTTTTTTTAGTTAAGGTGGCAAAGTGCAAAAACGGACAAAGTACAGGTTGCAAAATGCTATTAACCCAATAAAATATATGAAAAAAATGAAATGGTGATACAAATGGATTGTTGTAAGATTGGGCTTCAAAAGTTTTTATTCCGTAATGAGCCCAAAATATAAAGTCACGGCCCAAGGAAAGAACAGTTAAGTATTTTCTAGAACATGTTCGAAATTCTAATTGTACTGAAATCCGTATCGCTCTCGATATTTCAAGAATTTGCAAGATCATTCTGATCACCCATATAAATACGCGTGCTTCTTCAACCAAATCCCGTCAAAAATTAGAAACCGAGTTATCAAATCAACAAGTTCATCATCCACCCAGTATTATTTTTTGCAGAGATGTCTCTGATTCCAAGCTTCTTTGGCAACGGCCGCCGGAGCAACGTCTTCGATCCATTTTCATTGGATGTTTGGGACCCATTTGAGGGCTTCCCATTCTCCTCAGCCGTCACCAATCTCCCTTCCTCCGCCAGAGAAACAACCGCGGTGGCCAATGCTAGGATCGACTGGAAAGAGACGCCGGAGGCACACTTGTTCAAGGTGGATGTTCCCGGGTTGAAGAAGGAAGAAGTGAAGGTTGAGGTTGAAGATGGCAGTATTCTTCAGATCAGCGGAGAGAGAAGCAAAGAGAAAGAGGAGAAGAACGACAAGTGGCACCGTGTGGAGAGGAGCTCCGGCAAATTCATCCGCAGATTCAGGCTGCCGGAGAATGCTAAATTGGAGGAGGTGAAGGCGGCGATGGAGAATGGGGTGCTGACTGTGACTGTGCCCAAAGAGGAGGTGAAGAAGCCTGAGGTCAAGGCGATTGACATCTCTGGTTAATGTTTGAATTTTATATTTCAGCAAGTTTTGGTTTGTCTCGTTGTAATGAATAATGAATAATGTTGGCGTATATTTGGGAGCGTATTTCTATCCGGTTTTGTGCAAAGTGAAATATCACTATGTATAATAGAAATTCCGGAATAAAGCCCAACTAGTAAATAACAAATTACATTTTGCTTTTCACATTAATTCATTTCTATATGTTAATTTGTTAAACTCTTGTATCAGTATTCAGTACCATTTTTAGATTTAAAACATTGGGAACTAGTTATGGCAATTGTAAATAATGGCTAACTCTATGAGGTAAGATTAAATTATGAAAAAAATCTATCTTCTTTGGATAACTACAACCACCTTCCTTCACTACGTATTGTTTTACAAAAAAAAATTTTGTTAATAGTTAAACTTATAAGACAATATATAGTTCATGGGATGTTGTAATTAACTCTGCCTTGTAATTTGATTTTGCTTTAGGAGTGACGGTTTGCCCCTTTTTATTAGTGAATAAACACTAACTGTCTCGACTCTCATGTAATAACCATCAAGTTCACACAAACATCAATCTTCTCATCAAGACACAAAACTCTCTCCCGCATTTCTTCTCACCTTCTCCTCCCACAATCACTCTCATAATAACCTCTTCAATCTCACCTCTCTCCATCCAACATTTCTCCATTTTGATCCCTATTTTCCAAACACCATACACATACCTCGAATTCACCATTTGTTCGCCGAAAAAAGGCAAACAAATCATCGGTACTCCTTTGCAAATACTCCCTAGCGTCGAATTCCATCCACTTTGCGTCCAAAATCCACCAACTGCAAAATGAGACAGAACCTCAAAATAGAACTCCTCCCCCTAATCGAATCCGAAACTGGAGGTCCGTCCGTTGCGTTCCGGGCGTTCTAGCGAACCATGGTCCCATAATTCATGTTTAATTTTGTCATTGTTAAGTAGAAATATCAGAAATATTTATTTACAGCATGCTTATAATTAAATTTAATTATTATTTTTTAACATGTGGATAAAATATAGGGCAAATTCCATTTTCCACACCTTTTGTACCACTTTATCCCATTTTACGTACGATCGTATCGATTTATCCCAATGTACTTGTAAAATTGTCCCAATGTAGTCCGCGGCGTTAGTTTATAGATTTCTGACCTTGACAATGTTTGATCAATTTGACCATGGCTTCTCCCCTTTCCATTGTGTTGTCCCTTTGGTTTAAGAATTGTCGCTCGACCAACTGTTTCAGCTCGCTCAGTTAAACCAGACTTTGTTAAACATCATTCACGGTGTCGTCGGTCGGGCTGAGAGATTATGGGAGGAGCTGGCAGCACCTGAAGGATAAAGAGATAAATATGTGCGAAATGAAAAGTCTCTAACTAGAGTTCCTTGCAAATTGATGCGATTGAGATCTACAGCTACCACAACTGTACGTCTGGGATGTTTAATGAAATCTCGATAAATCGAACAAAAGACCCATGATTTGGTGACTCCTATTGGGTCGTCTGTAGTGGCTGATTCCTTGCCTCGAGAATATTGTATGCTCTGTTCGGGATGGTTGTCAAATTTTCCCTACTTCATAAGATAAAAAAATGCAAGTAAATCTAGATTGATTTGAACGTACTGTTTAGTTCATATGGAATTATTATTTCCAACTCAAACCACACAATACTTTTGCATCTTAAAATGGTTCAATGATTTTCGTATATATATACTCTAATTTTGTGCTTCTATACATTTTTTTTCTCTTGATAAACTATCATATTTGTCTACAAAATGAAAACAAACAAGAAGAACTAATTTTACAAAATTGTGATCCTCCTACACATGTATATCGATCATGTTCTGCTCAAACGGGAGGTTAAATCAATGAATAGATCTTCACTGCAAGGAATAGTGATCCCACCCATCGGATGATGGAACCCGAATTCTTCTTCGGCCTGAAATAGCAATTCTTGAAACAAATGATGGTTTAAGTACGACAATGGAATAACAAATCGCTTCTTCTCGCCCTCTCCAACATAAACAGCCAAATGCCCTTTTGGAACTTCAGCTAATCTTCTTTCGTTGGATAATGACCGTCTCAAAATTTGACGGATTGCCATCTTAGTTTGTGTGAAGTGAATTTCGCTTTGGTCAACTAAAAACGAAGAGGTATTTGAAATAAGTGAAAGCTGAGAAAGATAAGAGTATTTTGATCAGGAGTTGTCGTTTGTAATTAAGAAACGGTGTTGTATATATATATATAGGCTAGAAAGAAATGATGAATTCTTCAGATATCTACATAACACGGTCAACATAAATGTGGTTGCTCTATGAAACTCGAAAAAACATACGCATATGAAAGCACATGGATTTGTCTTTAAAAAAATGAAATGAAGTCAAGGCAACAAGAATTTGTGTGATAGAAAATGTTGTATCCTACCAACTCTGGCAACACGGCCCCTTAAACCATCATCTCAACATCTCTATTTATTTCGATATATCTACTAATTAGGCCATCTTATCCTAAATGCCACATTCAATTCAATGTGACGTTTTCTTGCTGGTGGTGTTAGGGATGATATATAATTCATTATGTTGCTCTAATTAAAGGACAAAACCATGTGATTTTTCATGTGCTTTTGTTTCTCTAACTTCTCCAGCCACCACATATCCTTTGGTCTTTTCATCACCATTCAATCCAGCTAATTTGGATATACCATTTACATCTTCATCAATATATATATATATATATATATATATATATATATATATATATATATATATATATATATATATATATATATATACTTATACGACACATATCTAAACTCACAACCAGCCTTCAACTTCTCATATTTCACTTGCTTCATAAAACTCTCCTATAATTCCTTCATATTCTTTCATCTTCGGCTTCATAAAGATTTATTTTAACCAAAATCAATGGCTATTCACAAAATTCTTAGACGGTCTTTATCGGCTGAAAAGAGAACAACTGAAGTTCGAAAGGGACATTTGGCAGTTTACATCGGAGAAAGTGAAAAGAAGCGATTTGTAATTCCATTATCGTATTTGAATCATCCTTCATTTCAAGAATTACTATGTCAAGCTCAAGAAGAATTCGGATTCCACCATCCAATGGGCGGCCTTACTATTCCTTGCAGTGAGAATTTATTCGTTGATCTAACATCTCGCTTGAGCATAGCGTAATATATATACTAGGTTTTAGAGCATATAATTTTTGTTAGCTAGATTCTTTACATATTTTGTAAACACAGAAGATACTTGTCGGATACAAAATGTATTCCCGCACAAATTAATCGTAATACATATGGAAGATTTTAATGTATACTAGTTTTGAGCCACTTTGATACATGAATATATTGCCTATTATTTTTAACCACAACCAAGAAAAAAAAATAACTTGTCATATGCTACTAAACTGTACTTATCAGAATACAAAAAAGGCAACTCATTAGGAATTTCATTCAATCACCAACATTTGAATTTGTAGAAGAGTATTTAAGTGCCAATACTTCTATTTTGGCTCGGAAAACGAATCCCATAGGAATTAATAGTTTATAGCCAGAGAATAAATGAAATGGCAGTAATATGTTCGAGTTCACTCAGCGAGTAAAGAGAGCATAGTGAATTAATTGTTCACCTTTTGCTAAAGAATATCGTGTTGTCGTTTTAATTCAAGCAGCATACGTCTCTTTTTGGAGGGCCAATTTCTTTTGGGAATTTTTCGTAATAAATCCAGTTCAATTTTGAAGTATAATTATAGAGAAATTCGTGTTATAAGTATGTTTTGGAGTCGACCTCACTCATGTACGAATCAAGGTTCACAGAATTTAGAATTGAGTTTTGGGAGGTAGCTGCCAACCCTCGAACCCGAGAACGAATTGGAGCTGGTTTAGATCTATTTTGTGCTGCCGACTTCCAAACGACGCCGTTTCGGAGTTCGAGTGCTGGTCGGAGGTGAGCCCGACGATGCCATTTCGGGGTAGAAATCGAGATTGATGTTTTCTGATGAGGAAGACGTCGGAGATGGTGTGCAGCTGGTTGAGTGAATTTTTTTGTTTATTTTGGAGAAGATGGTTTTTTTTAAAAGGTTAAGGATTGAATTGAATTTTTTTCAAAACTTGATTTTGGGGCATATTGAATTTCGGGGTGAATCTGTAATTTTTGAAATTTATAATTAAAGTGAATTTTGGTCCTTTCGGGTCAAAAATAAACTTACAGTCGCACAATCGGCGTGTGGAGCACGCGATAAGCTGGCAGGGCCCTTGTTGCCTCTGACTAATTTTCATAGGGAGTTATTGCTAATGTTTTTAACATGTGGGTTTTTTCAGCAATTTTAGATTATATAGTGGTGGTTTTTGCAAAAAACCCAAAAATATAAAGTGAAGGCCCAAAGAAAGAACAAGTATGTTCTAGAAGATGTTCGAATTGTACCGGGAATCCGTTTCGCTCTTGAAATTTCAGGAATTTGCAAGAATCGTCTGATCACCCATATAAATACGCGTTCTCCTTCAACCAAATCCCATCGAAAATTAGAAACTATCAAATTCATCATCAAAAACCAAATCAACAAGTTCATCACCATCAAGTATTATTTTTTGCAGAGATGTCTTTGATTCCAAGCTTCTTTGGCAATGGCCGCCGAAGCAACGTGTTTGATCCATTTTCATTGGATGTTTGGGATCCATTTCAGGGATTCCCATTCTCCTCCGCCGTGGGTAATCTACCCTCCTACGCCGGAGAAACTGCCGCTGTGGCAAACGCTAGGATCGACTGGAAAGAGACGCCGGAGGCACACTTGTTTAAAGTGGATGTACCTGGACTGAAGAAAGAGGAAGTGAAGGTTGAGGTTGAGGATGGTAGTATTCTTCAGATAAGCGGAGAGAGAAGCAAAGAGCAAGAGGAGAAGAACGACAAGTGGCACCGTGTCGAGAGGAGCTCCGGCAAGTTCATCCGCAGATTCAGGCTGCCGGAGAATGCTAAATTGGAACAGGTGAAGGCGGCGATGGAGAATGGGGTGCTGACTGTGACTGTGCCCAAGGAGGAGGTGAAGAAACCTGAGGTCAAGGCGATTGACATTTCTGGCTAATGTTTGAATTTTGTATTTCAGTATGTTTTGGTTTGTCCGGTTGTCGTATATTTTGGAGTGTATTTCTTTTTGGTTTTGTGGCAAGTGAAGTATCACTATATAGTATGTACAATAGAAATTCCAGAATAAAGCCGAACTGGTAAATAAGAAATTACATGTTGCTTTTCAGTACTTTACTTTTAATCATTTCTATATGTTAAACTCTTGTATCAGTATTTCCTTTAGATCTAAAACGTTGACAAATTATGGCCTTCTCTCTCAAGTTAAATTAAATTATGAAATGATAATTACAACCACCTCTCTCAGTTAACTATTATCTCTCTCAGTTACCTATTATCTTACGAAAACTTCCTCCTTTAATAAGTAAATTTGACACCGTAAATATGGACAATATATAGTTGATGAGAGTGATTGTAATTACCCAAAAATGAGAAATTTTCATAATTTAATCTTATCGAGAAAATTACAGTTTATGTCCCTAAACTTTACCACTAAAACGATGTATGTCCTTAAACATTTCAATCCACAAAATATGTCCTCAAACTTGCCACTTTTGATCACTTTATGTTCTGCCGTTAACGTCGGCAGCTAACTTCGACGGAAATTGCACGCGTGGCTCACGTGACGTCTATGTGGCCGTTAAATGTGACGTGGAATAATATATTGAATATTAAATGTTGACGTGGCACAAGAATATACTAATTTCCTCCAACTCACTCTCCCAAATCACGTTCATTCCCATTCCCAAATTTTCAATCCAATCTGCATTCTTGCTCGAACCCATACTAAAATCGAAGTCATAAACCCATAAAAAATCCAAACATTCTCACATTTGAAGAGTTTTTCCCTTCTCAGAGAACAGCAGATTCACGTGCAAACACATGTCTGCAATCGAGAGGAAGAAGGTAATTCTTCTCCCAACTCCGTCTCTAGAACATTGGGGTCGTGTGATTCTTCGCCTGCTGATGCTTGTGCCCCTTGTGGTCTCGATGAAGCGAGCACAAGGATGGTGAAGATGGCACAAATTCTACCCAACTCCGCAGTTTCAGAACCTGCCCAGAAGGTGTTCGACAAAATGTCTGAACCAATTCCGGAAAAAAAAAACATGCAGCACCTGTCAAAGCTGCATATAATTCTTTTTTGGCCAAGAATAAAGTGGCCAAGAACGGATTCCAGCTCCCCGACTTCCCCAACGAAGTGGAAGAAGACATGATATTTCAGCCCGAAGATGAAAATGAAATCGAGGAAACATTCGGCATTTGTTTATTGGGCTATTTTGCAGGTAAAACACCACGAAAAATGGCCATGGATTCACAGACGATTCTGCTATTTTCGAATTTCACCTTAATAGAAGGATTCGAAATGGGGTTTTAGGGATTGGATTTACGGGTTCATTGGGGATATGGAGAATTAGGGATTTTAAAATAGAAATAGGGGAGGAGAATGACGTGTCGCTCCACATCACGTTTCGTCAACCAAGTAGGCACTGGGTGTTGTACAACTCGACATTTAACGGCCACATAGACGTCATGTGAGCCACGCGTGCAATTTCCGTCGAAGTTAGCTGCCGACGTTAACGGCATAACATAAAGTGATCAAAAGTGGCAAGTTTGAGGACGTATTTCGTGGATTGAAATGTTTGAGGACATAAATCGTTTTAGTGGTAAATTTTAGGGACATAAACTGTAATTTTCCCTAATCTTATCTTATGGCTGAGCGTAATTTGGCCTTATTTTATGAGTGAATATGCACAAAATTGTTGTATGTAACAACCAATAAAACACAAGATTTAACAAATGATGAAATGAGATTAACCAAACCATCAAATGCTACATAAGAAGAACCACCCGATTTCACACAAACATCAATCTTCTCCTCAAGACACAAAACTCTCTGCCTCATTTCTCCACTTTCTCTTCCCAAACAATCACTATCTAAATAGCCTCTTCAATCTCACCTCTCTTCATCCAACATTTCTCCAATTTAATCCCGGTTTTCCAAACACCATACACATACCTCGAATCCACCATTCGATCGCCGAAAAAAGGCGACCAATTTATTGGTACTTCTTCGCAAATACTCTTCAGCACGGGAGGACTGTTCCCATTGCGTTTCCGCGCAAACCATGGTCCCAATAATTCATGTTTCATTTTATCATATTTAAGTAGAAAAACTCAGAAATATTTATTTAAAGCGTGCTTATAATTAAATTAAATTATTATTTCTTAACATGTGGATAAAATATAGGGCAGATTCTATTTTCCACCCCAGTTGTACTTACGATTGCATCGATTTACCCCATGTACTTGTAAAATTGTCCCAATATAGTTCTCGTCGTTAGTTTTCAGATTTCTGACCTTGACACTGTTTGATCAAGGCTGGAAAATTACAGAAATGACCATGGCTTCTCCCCTTTCCATTGTGTTGTCCCCTTTGGTTTAATAATTGTCGCTCGACCAACTGTCTCGCTCCATCAAACCAGACTTTGTTAAACATCATCCACGATGGCCAAACCTTTATGGCGTCGTCGGGCCGAGAGATTATGGGAGGACCTGGCAGCAAATGATTATGGGAATGATAAAGAGATAAATATGTGAGAAATGAGAGGTCTCTAGCTAGAGTTCCTTGGAAATTGATGCGATTGAGATCTACGGCTACCACAACTGTACGTATGGTATTTTCCATGAAATCTTGATAAATCGAACAAAAGATGACTTTGTAAGAACAAACACTTTTGGGCCAACCCATGATTTGGTGACTCCGATGGGGTCATCTGTAGTGGCTGATTCCATGCCCGGAGAATATTGTATGCTCTATTAGGGGTGGTTGTCAAATTTTCCCATATGATAAAAAAATGCAACTAAATATATCAAGATTGATTTGAACGTACTGTTCAGTTCATATGGAATTAGTATTTCCAACTCAAAACCCGCAATACTTTTGCATCTTAAGATTTTTGTATATACTCTAATTCAGTGCTTCTATACATTTCTTGATAAACTATTATGTCTGCCTAGTAAAGGAGAACAAACAAGAAGAACTAATTTTACAAAATTGTGATCCTCCTAAATATGTATATCAATCATGCTCTGATCAAACGAGAGGTTAAATCAATAAATAGATCTTCACTGCAAGGAATTGTGATCCCACCCATCGGATGATGGAATCCAAATTCTTCTTCGGCCTGGAATAGCAATTCTTGAAACAAATGATGGTTTAAGTATGATAATGGAATAACAAATCGCTTTTTCTCGCCCTCCCCAACATAAACAGCCAAATGCCCTTTTGGAACTTCAACTGATCTTCTTTCGTTGGATAATGACCGTCTCAAAATTTGACGGATTGCCATCTTAGTTTGTGTGAAGTGAATCTTGCTTAGCTCAAGTAAAAACGAAGAGGTATTTGAAATAAGTGAAAGCTGAGAAGGATAAGAGTATTTTGATCAGGAGTTGTTGTTTGTAATCAAGAAACGGTGTTGTATATATAGGCTAGAAAGAAATGATGAATTCTTCAGATATCGACATAACATGGTCAACATAAATTAATGTGGTTGCTCTATGAAACTCGAAAAAACACACGCATATGAAAGCACATGGATTTGTCTTTAAAAAAATGAAATGAAGTCAAGGCAACAAAAATTTGTGTGATAGAAAATGTTGTATCCTACCAACTATGGCAACACGGCCCCTTAAACCATCATCTCTATTTATTTCCATATATCTACTAATTAGGCCATGTTATCCTAAATGCCAAGTTTTGTTTTGCAATTGAATTTATGCCACATTCTATTCAGCGGGTCAATATGACGTTTTCTTGCTGGTGGTGTTAGGAATGATATAAGGGTCCCTCACAATTGACAAATAATTCATTCTTCATGTTCTTTTGTTTCTCTAACTTGTCCAGTAGCCACCACATATCCTTTGGCCTTTTCATCACCACTCAATCCAACTAATTTGGATATAGTATTTACAACTTCATCTATATATATGTTTATACGTCACATATCTAAACTCACAAACCTGCAGCCTTCAACTTCTCATATTTCACTTCATAAAATTCTCATACATTCCTTAATTTTATTTAAGATTTAGTTTCACAAAGAACCGATGGCTATTCACAAAATTCTAAGGCGGTCTTTATCGGCTGAAAAAAGATCAGCTGAAGTTCCAAAGGGTCATTTGGCTGTTTACATAGGAGAAAGTGAAAAGAAGCGATTTGTAATTCCATTGTCGTATTTGAATCATCCTTCATTTCAAGAATTACTATGCCAAGCTGAAGAAGAATTCGGATTCCACCATCCAATGGGTGGCCTTACTATTCCTTGCAGTGAAGAGTTATTCGTTGAGCTAACATATCGCTTGAGCAGAGAGTAATATATATACTAATTTTTAGAGGATATAAATTGTATTAGCTAGATTCTATTACATATTTTGTGAACACAGAAGATACTTTGTCGGAAACAAAATGTATTCACGAACAAATGAATCGTAATACTTTAATACACGGATGCCTTATCTTCTTACAAATTGTTATCAATATTTCTAGTTCTGCCATCATGAATACATGGTTGTCAAGAAAAAAAAACATGTCGTATGCTACTAAATTGGGAATTTCATGCAACCCCAAAAGAATCCCATAGGAAAACAACCAAATAATAGGTTATAGTCGAGTTCACTCAAAGAGCAGTGAGAACATAGTGAACTATTTGTTCGCCTTTTGCTAAAGAATACTATGTTTTCGCTGTAATTCGAGCATCATAAGTATGTTTGAAACCAAATTCAGCCATTCTGGTTATTAATAACGTTTACTGACCCATTAATTGTACATTATTAGTAAACCTAGTGAAATGGGAATCTAATAGATTTACTCATTACTAAAGAGGCTACTAGAACTGGAAAAAATAAAGAAAATAATGAATCTTCGGCCTAAGAGATTGAATCTTCAATAAAGGTGAAAGCCAACGAAAATATTAAATTGAATTTGTCTTCGTAAAACAACATTGGTAGGTCGACGAGAAAACACAAGAGAGAGAGAGAGAGAGAGAGAGAGAGAGAGAGAGAGAGAGAGAGAGAGAGTTCATAAAGTCTGTTCCTAATGGTATTGATCCTGCAATCATGATGCGAGAAAAAAATTAACTAGTCAATGTTCCTTGGAGTGCATTTTGGATGGGAAAATTAATTGAGGAGGTATTG